AAGAAAAGAGCAGTCGAGTTCTGAAGGAGAAAAGAAAGGAGCGGGAAAAGAAAATCTTCTTTTTAACAAAAAAATGTGGTGTTGGCTCCTGAAAAACGGACGAACAGAACAAATTCTCGCAAACGACGAGCCTTAGAACAACCGTTCAAGAAGAAAAACACTTCTATAGGCATCCTTATTGCATCACATGGCAAATGTGTACAAACATATAAGCCAAGGCCCACATGGAAACGAAACGCTTGGGAAAGAATGGCGTGATGCAAGAGAACACGGCACTTTAGAATTGGGTCATTTTTAGCCGATTTTGCCTTGAAAATCCTAAAGAAATATCCCTCGACTATGTCTGTCAAGTGGACAGTGGTATAAAAGTCCACGAAAAATTCATTTTTTTGAACCTTGACTGTTACGAATCACTACAGTTATGTCGGCTCTTCCTTGGGTTATTTTATAAGAACTTGGTCTACATCGTAGTTTTGCGTCTTCGTTTGGTGGACAAAATCACTGAGAGATCAGCTTCCTGCAAGATTATAAATTGCCGCGACTTTGGCTTCCCTGACCCTTAGTGTCCTAGAACTAAAACAGCGCTATTTCCTTTGATAACTGTTTTCAGAAGTGATGTACATGAGAAAAAAAAGATCAGTAATTTTATAGCAAGAGAATAGATTCAGAGATTAAATGAATCGAATCGATTGGGTAAACCCAACTCCACCCGTCAGAAACTAGTTCGTAGCTTTGACAACTATCCAAGGTTTATTGACTTGCACCTCTGGTACAAGGGATAGCGCCGGCCGAATTCATCTGTGTATTTTCGCAGAGGAGCTTCGCAATGGAATGAAGAAAACGGTTGTCAGAGAGATGAGGAGAACAAGTAAAAAAAGAATTAGGACTTTTGATTTTGATAGGATTATTGCCCTATTTAACAAAAAGGTGCTACAGGCGCTTCTCCATAGACAGTGCGTGAGAAGACCAAGAGATCAAGCCTGGAGCCTGGATTAAGCCCGACTAGGCCAACGTTGTCTCCCACCACTCTGACTCTGACAAGGGAAGGATACCAAGTCGAAGTGGCCATCCGTAATGAAACCTATACTCAGAGATGTGTTTTCGGACGCTGATCTCAAATCCACTCTCCAAATTTGCGGAAACGATTCTCTGAAAAGAGTTACGGGGTTGTTTCAAATGAATGGCCATTAGAAGAGACGCCTTCAAAGGCTGCCAGCGGCGTCCTGGCCGAGTGGTAGTGGTGGCGCCTCATGCTGGTGAGACTATGGTTCGGTTCTTGGTGAAGTCCAAATTTTTGCTTTTATCAATTATGCCTGTTTTCAGCCCAAAAGAACCTTTAGTGTGGAAATTAACACAATGTAGCTCGAGCTCGCGGTGGTCTCCTCATCGTCTGGCTCCCACAGAGGATCACTCTCTTCTTCTTTGACGACGATATCCTCTTTGCATTCGACAATCAGATTGTCAAGCACGGCTTCTCTCAAGATTGACGTGAAGCTGTCTATCACCTTCTGCTCCATCCTGGATGGGCTACGCTCAATGTCACAAGAACCAAAGTTCTTCAGTAAGTGTGACACCACAACTTGGGGACAGAACATATTCAGTGTAAGACACTATTGATTTGATAGTGGTATCTCTACCGTTTATGCTACTCATAGTTCTCACCGGAAATGACGTCATCTCTGGTGACGTGGCAACATCTCGACACCTGTAGAATAATTGATCGAAAACTTCGTGAAGAAAGCGATTTATGCTTGAAGTGAGCCCCCAAACAAGTGACTGCGTTGTACATTGTGTTAATTTCCACACTAAAGGTTCTTTTGGGCTGAAATGGCCGAGTGGTAGTGGTGGCGCCTCATGCTGGTGAGACTATGGTTCGGTTCTTGGTGAAGTCCAATTTTTGCTTTTATCAATTATGCCTGTTTTCAGCCCAAAAGAACCTTTAGTGTGGAAATTAACACAATGTAGCTCGAGCTCGCGGTGGTCTCCTCATCGTCTGGCTCCCACAGAGGATCACTCTCTTCTTCTTTGACGACGATATCCTCTTTGCATTCGACAATCAGATTGTCAAGCACGGCTTCTCTCAAGATTGACGTAAAGCTGTCTATCACCTTCTGCTCCATCCTGGATGGGCTACGCTCAATGTCACAAGAACCAAAGTTCTTCAGTAAGTGTGACACCACAACTTGGGGACAGAACATATTCAGTGTAAGACACTATTGATTTGATAGTGGTATCTCTACCGTTTATGCTACTCATAGTTCTCACCGGAAATGACGTCATCTCTGGTGACGTGGCAACATCTCGACACCTGTAGAATAATTGATCGAAAACTTCGTGAAGAAAGCGATTTATGCTTGAAGTGAGCCCCCAAACAAGTGACTGCGTTGTACATTGTGTTAATTTCCACACTAAAGGTTCTTTTGGGCTGAAAACAGGCATAATTGATAAAAGCAAAAATTTGGACTTCACCAAGAACCGAACCATAGTCTCACCAGCATGAGGCGCCACCACTACCACTCGGCCAGGCCGCCGCTGGCAGTCCATTGAAGGCGTCTCTTCTAATGCCATTCATTTGAAACAACCCCCGTAACTCTTTTCAGAGAATCGTTTCGCAAATTTGGAGACGGATTTGAGATCAGCGTCCGAAAACACATCTCTGAGTATAGGTTTCATTACGGATGGCCACTTCGACTTGGTATCCTTCCCTTGTGAGACACGGCCAAATAATCAGCACCAGACTCGACCGAGAAAATCAAAGCAGTATGCTCTAGAAGCCTGTCCATACACCGATACATCCATGTGCTCTAAGAAATAGAATAAGCGCTAAATGCGTAGCACGCGAAGAAGCAGACTATCAGCGTCGAGCGCTTCATCGTTTATTACGTTGTGGGTATCTAACTCAGCTGGCTGTTCTACAAAAACACTCGATTCACAGGGCATTCAGTTGGAATCGAGGCAGAGACCTATCACCGAGTGTTGGTCTGAGAGCTCTGTTTCTGGTCGGATATCAGCGAAGCCAAGGGAGTCGTTCCTCTCTCTAAGAGCAACTAGTGGTAGCATTTGTGTCTGGGAACAAATTCAGTGGCATTCCCTTTTTAACACGTTGACGACAGGCTGACGCGCATGCGCGTCGGAATGTACCCTCTTTTATAACCATTACCCTCTTTTGGAAAAGGGAGGGGTTTTCACATTGTGCAATGCAGAACACGAGATTGAAACTGTTTCTTTAAGTTCTACGTAAGCATTATCGTCTAGAGTTTCTAGGGTTGTTGGAGTCGAGCAAGCATAAGAAGAATGACTTCTCACTGAAAACATCCTCACAAGAGAAGTTGCCCCTCTTAAAGGCAAACCCCGGGATTAGCCCGACTAGTGGGAAGGATACCGCGAGGGAAATTGTAGGTCCGTACCTACATAGATCACTCCAGCTTCGTTGCCCAAATTGCGCGATTAGGGCGCTAATCCATTACGAACCTGCAACCATCGACCCTCGCTGCAACGCTTCCCACCCACCGCTGATATAGAGATCAGCGTGCTCTCTCGAACGGCGTGCTCTCTCGCGTGTTTTGTCTTCTTTGATCGCCCTGTCTCGCCATCGTACCACATCCGACCTTTTGAAGGTTAAGGCCTTAGTTTTAGTTCCAAAGATTTCTCTTGCTTTCCTTTCCACTTTCAGGTCGTTCCGCAGCTTAGGCATCACTACCAAGCGCTCTCATCACCAGTTTTATCCCGGGGATTGCCTTAAGGACTTCGAAGGGCCTGGCATGTCCCGTCCAACTTACATCCCCAATGAGAAAACTACTTCTTCGGATTTTCGAGTCCAGTACAATGGAACTCAAAGTCAGGTCAAAT